CGCGCGCGCGGCTGGCGGCTTCTCCCATTTTTTTCCACTTCTAATGCCAAAATATTGCGGTGTCCTTCCTTGTTGAATTATAAACTACCATTTTGAATTCTGTAGCCGTAATGACATTTTGGTGGTTGACGTAAGGAGCAATGTATCAAACTTTAAATCATTGTGACTCAACTTTCTTTCCGTGTAGGGTTTACGTTGCTGAATCTCTTATTTCTACTGCTGGAGAAGGACTCTTCTCGAAGGTAGCAGTGGGACCTAACACTGTTATGTCTTTTTATAATGGAGTCCGAATTACACACCAAGAGGTGAGTGGCGTAGAAATGGAAAATCAGCTCGATTGGTTGAAAGGTTTCATGTCAAATCAAGTCTCTTTAGTATTCACTGAAAAAATTAAGGAACTTTGTTTTGTTTAGTTTGTCTGTTTTTGTGGAATTGATTGAGCCCTAATATTACTTCGTTTTTGTTGTTGCTTGAGGGTGTGTGCCCTCACCACAGACAGACAGACAGAGGGAGAAAAGAAAGTACCCCCCCATGGGGAATATGGGGAATGGTCACACTGCGGTCCCTTCTCCACCATTTCTCCATCCTGTAGAGAGCTGGGGCACACACATTCATCCTTTTTTTTGATAGAGTGTTTTTGCTATAGGGCACGTGTGCTCACTGCAGAGACAGAGACAGAAAGCAAGAAACCGCCCCCTTGTGGGGATGACCACAGCATAATCCCTTCTCCGTTTTCCTCCCGGGATCCTGGGCATGCATGCGCATGTGCCCAGCATGATTTTCAAGCCAGGGTCAGGTCCAGGATTCAAACCGTGGTCAGCCATGTGGAATACAGCTGCTTTAACCTCCAAGCCATGGAACTGGTCCAATATGACTTTTTTCTTGACAGAGATTTCTGCTATAGGGCACATGTGATCACAAGACAGAGACAGACAGACAGACAGAAAGCAAGAAATCCCCTCCCAGGGGCGATAGCCACACATCAATCCCTTCTCCTCCCTTCTCCTCTCAGGATTTTGGGCACGCACGCACACATGCCTGACATGAGGTTTAAGCCACCAGGTCCAGGATTCGAACCAATCATAGTAGACTCCATGGGAGTCTAGCCACGTAACCATTACGCCATCTACTGGTCCCGACAGCTATTTCATAGAAAGTTGTCTTCAATGGGTCTGCACTGGGGTGTACCCCATGTCTGAAAAGTTGAGAGCCAATCAGATTCTGTCAGTAATTTATTCATGACCTGGGTGGGGTGCTTTCTAGGAAGGACCTCTACTTCTGTTGTGCAAAACCATCTAATAGCCTATATCAGGAAGGGTTCTATTGCCAAATACTACTACTAATAATAAACAAATAAAAAGAACAGAACCACCTCTTGACCTTAAGACACAATCTTTTATACTTCTCCGAGATTTCACTTATGGTGTTTTTGGGTGCATTTCTTCACCTCACCACATACTGCCCAAGTGTCCGCGAATGTTTGCTGCCTTTGCCACAGCTAGTCTCACTTTATGCAGTATGGGGGACTTGAGCTGGTGACTGATACACCACACGTAGGTCTTTGCTTTTTCACGTATTCCTATGGAATGGTAAGGGGGGACATGCCGTGAAATAGTCCAGCTACCCCACATTCAGAGCAGCTGCACCAGCAGAACATGGCAATGCACCCCGCCCCAGCTGGGGTCGGGCAGATAGCGGACCCGGAAGATGACCGCACCTCTGTATCAGCCATCCGGAGAGTCTAAGAAATCCAGCACCTGCAGTCTGGCTTGGGGATACAATGATACCATTTATTGCTTTAAACGTTTTACAAATAAGGAAACTGAGGTCCTAGAGAGGCTGAGCAACTTGTCTCAGGTCACAGATACAATAAGGAGCTGAGCTCAAGTAGAATGGCCAACAGCAGGCTCAGGCTCTGTGCTGAGACCCGGATGCCGTGTTGTACGTAAGACACTCCTGAGACCAGCAAATGGAATAGTGGTCAAGGTGCTGGACTCTCACACGGCTCACTACCATTCAAGTCCCGGGCCCAGCAGCTTGAAAATCACGCTGGGCACATGGACATGTGTGCCCCAAACCCCAAGGATGGAGGGGAAGAGACTGTGACATGGCCATCCCCCCCCAGGGGTGATGTCTCACTGTCCTTCTCTCTGTCTCTTTCTCCCTGGCAAGGGTGTACTCCCTAAGGAAGTCCCGGGCAAATAAAATAAATAAAATAAAATAAAATAAAATAAAATAAAAGCTTAAAAAAATGCACACTCCTTGCCCTTATGAAATTTAGATTCTGGAGGGGAGATAAGGAAATGACACAACTAATGGCAAAATAAGGTAGAGGGGAGCCCCGATGGTGGCTCAGCAGTGAAACACAATGCCCTGCATGGTTGGTCCACAGAAGGTTCCAGGTTCGTGTCTGGCATCATCCCCAAGGGACCACAGTCTGTGACTGGCTGAAGCTGGGGAGTGGATCATAGTGTCAAGACCATGATGGAGTTGCTGTCTCTGAATGTCTCACTTGTAGGGGAGAAAAAAAAAAGAATAAATAAACTTAAAGAAAAAGCTATAAGGTAGATGGTACCATCACATCACAGAGCTGGAGTATTAAGATTTGTGAGGATTTTTTTCCCCCACTTTTAAAAAAAGTATTCAATATCATTTGTTGTTATTATTTCTTAATTTGACCAGAGAGAGAGAGACAGAGGAAGAGAAAGGGATAGTCAGAAAGCAAGCTACCAGGTCCAGGACTCGAACCACAGCTGGCCATGTGGGAGTCCAGCACCTTAACCACCACACCATCTGCCAGGCCCTGTTTCCACTTGTGATAATTGCTAAGTCCCCTGCTCCTAGAACAGTGCCTGATGCATGGTAGCCATTCAGTAAACAGAGGAGCTTTGAGAGTCAGCTGTTCTGTATAGAAAAGGAATCCCCTTTGCTCTAAAAGGCTGTTGTGCTGGCGTCACCAGACCCTGGGTGTGTCGATCAGGAGTGGTCTGGAGAGGGAAACCTGATGGTCACAGCACGGACAGTGAGTCCCAGTTCAGGTAGGAAAGCTCCCTGGTCATTGTGACAACCTGCTGGTCGCACTATCATAGCCCAGGCAGGAGGCATTACTGGTGCGCATGCTTTGTTTGCGATTTGGTCCCATTTGATGTTTTTTTGTTTGCTTGCTTGTCTGATTTTTTTGCTGGAGGGCACATGCACTCAACTGAGAGAAAGAGAGACAGAGGGGAAAGGAGAAAGCACACCCACAGGGCGTAGTCACACCACAATCCCGTCTCCTCCATTTCTCCGTCCTGTTGGGATTTGAGGCACGCATGCATGTGCACCCAGCCTGTTCTCCACGCTGTTGGGGCTGGAATTCTCACCTCAGTCAGCCATGTAGGATTCGTTTCCCTCAACCACCAGGCCATGGAGTCGTCCACCTCCATTTGGTGGTCTTACTTTGTTTTTTTCCTCTTGCCTCATCTTCATCTACAAGTTATTTGGTTCTATCTTTGCACATCTTTTTTAAGAGAATTATTTATTTTATTTATTATTATTATTATTAAACTATAATGCAAGGCCTTGCATGGCAATCCAAATTTATTGAACTACTGATGCTAAGTTACGCGAAACTGCACCACTTTAAGGTTTTAGTTTACATTTGGCCACCTCAAAGTAGTTGTAATATTAGGTTGGTCAATTTAAATACGGTGACTGTCTGTTGTATAGACATAGGATCTTTACACCCAAATGGTAATGCATACAAAACAATGAGACATCATCGTTAAATAAAACAACAACAGTTACTGCAAATTAGGCCTTGTGACCAATTACACATGATTAAAATTACTTCCCACAATCAGATCCACAGTATCTTTTTTTTTTTTCTTTCCTAATTTGCTATAGGGCACAGAGAAAGACAGAGAGAAAGTGAGAAAGCAAGTCACCAGGTCCAGGACTTGAACCGCCATCAGCCATGTGGGAGCACCTTAACCACCACACCATCTGCTGGCCCCCCTTTGCATACCTTTATAAGGGACTTTAAATTTTTCTTTTCCGTATAAAATAAGAAAACACACAACAAATAAGCCGAGCTTCTCGGTGCTGTACACCTAGGTCATTTGTACCAGAGAAATAGAGAAGGGATTGCCGTGTGACTACACCCAACTGGGAGGTGCTTTCCCCCTGTCCCTCTCTCTGTCTCTGTGTCTTCCTGGTGGGCGCTTATGCCCTCTAGCAAATAAAATAAATAAATAACAACCATCAAATGGAACCAAAATGCAAGAATGCACACAGGAAATGCCTATGCCATTGCTATAATCAATGTGGCCAGCCGGTGCCTTGGGATTTTTCACATTCGTAGCACTCAGACCACGAAGTGTGAGGATAAATACGTTAATATCTTTGATTTCCTTTGAAACCTTGGGAGAAACGTCTTCTCTAAGGCTCGCCTTCTTGCTCTCTGCAGGTTGACAACAGGGACTGGGCCCTTAACGGGAACACCCTGTCCCTGGATGAGGAGACGGTCATTGACGTACCTGAGCCCTACAACCACGTATCCAAGTACTGCGCCTCCTTGGGACACAAGGCAAACCACTCCTTCACTCCGAACTGCGCCTACGACATGTGAGTGTGACCTCGGCATGGGGCTGGCTCGGCGTAAAGGGCTCTCCTGCCCCAGGGACGGCAGCTCCCTGTCAACAACCAGGGTCCTCGGGTCCTCAGCCGCAGGCCACAGGGTTAGGCCTTGAAGCTCACCAGCCCCTCTCTCTGGCCCTGGCAAACCAAGAGCCAGGATAGCACTTGGAAGAGTAGAAATCCTATGGAAATAGGACACTCAGAGGTGGCTATTTTACTGCTGCTCTTTTTTTAAAAAAATTATTTTATTTAACTTTATTTATTTTAATTTGACCAGAGAGGGACTGAGAGAGAGAGAGAGACAGGG